GCGAATTCGTTTACTTGCCCAAATCGGTTTAGGGCTCCGCGCGTAACAAGCATTGCTTGGTGTCGTAAGGGCCACTTGTTTGTACTGACCATAGTGCATCAACGTCCAAGAATCCAAGAATTAAAACCTGGTCTCCTATTTTTAAATCGAAATCTTTGTTGTTTTTATCATATCTAATTTTTTGTTTTATTTTATTATTATCTAGCATTAGTCTAGCACTTTTATGTGCTAGTTCTAGTCTAAACTTGGCTTCTTTAGCATAATCAACTAAGTTATATAGCGGATCTATATTTGCTGTTCTACCAAATATCAGCTCATATGGACAATAATCATGTGCCATAAAGGATGTAGTTTTAAAACAGTAAGTGAAATATGGGAGCCAAACATCCCAATCAGATTTGTTTATTGATATATAAGACCAGATGAATTCATTGATTGTTCTATGACTTCTTTCTACGGTTTCTACTGTCTGATGGTGATGTGCGAAGGATGTTGTGTTTTCAATTTTTAAATTTTTACAAAAGTCCTCTATTATTGAATTTTGATATTCTGTTCCCATGTCCGTAATCAACGTCTTTATTGGACCGTACTTCAGAACACACAGAACAGTAGCTTTGGCTACCGTTTTTTTCACTTTTGCCTGGTACTGTTTTTGTGACAAGATATTTTGTTAAGTCGCAGATTAATGTAACTGCAGTGGACCTATTGTATCCACAATTACCCTATCGAAAGCCCTTTGTGGGGTTTCAGTTTTGTTAATGGCATTGGCATTGGGGACATTTACTTATGTACTCTTGTATGTCCTTAGACATATTTTTCAAATAACAGTGTATCTGGCCAAGGTTTTTGTAATGCCTGTATGACCTCCTTGTAATGGTTCGTCGTGGTATGTAGACATATCTTCTTTTTCTTTATTATTTTTGATTACGGTCACCGGTTGAGTAGCGCTACTCTCAATGATTTAATATATTCCATATTCCATATAATGGAATGCTTTTGAAGGTTCTAGTCCAGAGAGAGCTAGTCATCATTCTTATCGCGTGACGCGATATGAACCATTGCTTGCTGAAAAGGACGTTATATCTCGTGAACTTTTTTCGAGTTCAATTTGATGAAAACCTGACATTAAATCAAGGCATGAAAAGTATTTTGCTCCACCTAGTTGATCTAAAATATCATCAATTCTAGGGAGTGGAAATTTATCAGACAAGAGTTTTTTATTAATCTGACGATAGTCAATTACTAATCGCAATTTTTTCTTTTCCGAATTTGGGAGTGACTTTTTGGGTACTAATAAAAGTGGGCTACTATAAGGTGATTCCACTATTTTGTCGTTAATGAGCTTTTGGATTTGCTTTTGAATTTCGTCTTTTTTGTCTATGAGGATTTCTATAATTTTTTATGTATATAGGTTCTTCATCCTTCAATCTCAGTTTTTGTTTATAGAAATTATTCGTAGTAATCGATTCGGTTTCTAGTCCGAATACATCGCTATATTGGATGCATAATGTTGTTAATTGTTTATTAAATTGTGGGGGTAAGTTTTTTGAAAATTGGGTTAATACAGTTTTTTCTCGGTCTTTAAAGTGTTTTTTAACTACATCGTAGTTTGAAAGTGATTGATGTTTTAAATGGTTTTTGAACTCTTGCTGTGGTATTTGCTATATAAACACCATGCTGAATTTCCTGATTCGGAATCAATACACTGTCTTCTGCTGAATTTATTTCAATTTTTCGGACAACTTGGTATCTTGCTGGCAGAATTACGGAGTGGTTGCCAGAGCTATATGTTATTGGAACATAAACTGGATATTTTAGGTTATTTGGCCTAATTATGAGCCAGTCTTGAGATGGCTTGACAGTTGACAGTTGTGTTTTATAAAATCGATTTCTCGTCCTCTATTATTGATATAGTAACCACGGTTACTATTATTGTTATTAAAGAAGCGGAAATTACCTCTTCCGCGGTAATTTCCATTGTAGAACAGGACAGTCTTTGATTGGCCTGTTGCATCTGTGCAACTATTTACGAATTGGGACATGGCATCATCCAATGTGTTGAATGTGCCAGCCTCCATGATAAGTTTAATCTTATCGATTGTACAGTTCTTAGTCATTGCCTTGACAGCAAGTGTTTTGCTGTACTGGGGGCCAAATCTGAGGTCAATCCGTCATTTATGTAGGCTCCTTCTAGTGCCTTTGCCAATTTCTCTACTTCTTGAACGTATTGACTGACTGTTTTTTGTCTCTGTTGGAGATTTAATAGTTTTGCCGAATCGACATCTTCTGATTCTCCTTTAACTTTATTTTTTAGTTTGTTTATTTTTTCTGAAATTGGATTCTTTTGGTTTAGTCTTGATCACTTTAACTGCTGGAGCTTCATGCGGTTCCTTCAGGGAATTTAAAGAATCTAAGACTTTTTAAGTTGTCGGCCTTACCATAAAACTCTGGATTGAGTGATGAGGCTAATTTTAAGAATTCAGTTGGTGTGAGAGACTATGTCGACCCCTCCAGCCGTCAGCTTGGCCGTCTCGACGAGTTGCCGGCTGCTTATAAGAACGGCCTCCGTCTTATGTGCCGCGAGTTGGAGCCCGGCAAGTGACACACATGTGACACATGGATATGAACTCAAGTGAATGTGCATATACCCTCGCGCTCCAGCCTATACGAGCATAGCTTGTAGCGTTCAACTCGAATCCTACCGATTCCCAAGTCGCCACTCGGTATGCTTGTCGTAGAGGTCGTGCACTTCTAGCGATGCTCTGCGCTATGCTCGTCGGACTGGCGTGGGTTCTTTCTACTTCCGCTATACCACGACATAAAACAAGAAAATAAGTGCACTATCTGAAACTATTAAGATGTACCTAAATTGTTGTAATCGGCTGTACCCACTGCTTAGTTACGCCAACAGGAACAGATCTCCAATCGATCAAGGGTTAGGGAGACTTGGACGTTGTTTGCCCCCTTATTCTTTACCCACCCTTCCATGGTAACCTTTACATCTATTAGATTACCCCTTATCTGACATCAGATTATATTCTAATACCCCTCAAACATCATGTAGCTCCGGTGACGATCCAAAAAAAAAAAAAATGATTTACACGATCATTTCGTGGCGTTATACAAAGAATTCATTGTTTCCATTTTTTTCATAGGTTTATGCGCGGTGCGTTCTAATAAACCCTTCAAAGGTCGTTTTAGATAATCTAAGCACAGGGTGGTGCCGTTTACTTATTGCTATACTCCAAGATCTATATCCCCTTCAGTTCTGCAGTAGGGACGCGGTGACATGGCTCAAGGCAAAAAGCTTTTTTTGTTTTTTTTTTGTGCCTAAAACGCTGTGCCGCTGTTGACGTCAGCAGAGCAGTCGGCGCAGCGTAGAAGACTGCCCACGAAAACAATCGTGCAACAAAGAGAGGCAGATATTCGGATATTTCCCTCTCTTTCTTATCTTATAATCTGCCTGCACTCCGCGCTCGCAGAGACAAATTTCGGCTGGCCCGTTATTTTTTTTTGCGTCTCTCTGATATGTTCGGCTAGCGACTAATATTTCGGCGGAAAAATTTTCGTGGAGCAGCGACATGTGAGTGCCCTAATATTTTAGGAGCATTATTGTGTATCGAAAAAAACAACTAATATTGTTTTATAAAAGTAAACTATTTGATTATAGTAAAATGTAGTATATTGAATTTACTTATAATGTTATATTTACTTATTATACATTTTTATTACAATATAATTTTTTAGTTAAGTTATAGAAATTTAGTCCGTTAAAATTGATTTAAGTATTTAAAACATTTAAGTATTAACATTTAAAAAAAAATCGTATTGTATTTTTTACTCAAGAAGTAAAAACTGTATAGTCGGATATATAATTCACTTTAGAAAGGGTTTAGGTGCAGTGGCACGCGCCAACAGCGAAGAGAAAACAAAAGAAATCTAGCAAAAGGGGTGAGAAGACTTGGTGCATTCTGTTTGAGTGATTGAAAGGGAAGCATCCATTTTAATGGTGCGCAGCAGAGTTACTTTAATCATTTAGTTAATATAATAAAGTCAGGTAAGTGCTACATTAAGTTTAAGATGTTGTGCATTGATCTTAGTTTAAAGTACGTAAATTTTGAAGGTATTCAATGGGTTCCGTTAGCCGAAAGTGGATGACGAAAAGTTTTGTGCCAATAAAAATCCTGCAAAGGGTTAAACACAGCTATAAAAGGTAAATATACAATTAAACAAATAAAACGCATTTTTGAAACATATGTTTTTTCAGGAGCGTTGGCCAAGGATTCAGAGGACCCGGACAAAGGTTTAAGAACGGCGATGACTAACGTTAAAAATAAGCTTACGAAGCATAAAAACAGAAACAATAATTGTACAATTTTTGAAAATCTAAATAATACCATATAATTAAAATGAATTAAAATGAAATTAAATATGTGTGTATTTTAAATTTTATATTTTTATAATTGAAAACTCAAGGAAAAATTCTGATTCTGTGATTCACTTGGGACGTGTCCCTTGCAAGTGATTTCACAAGTGAAAACTCAAGGAAAAATTCTGATTTTCCCAAGTGATTCACTTGGGACGAGTCACCGGCACGTGACAGGCCATACGAAAAATGAGTAAAAGGAACAAGTGAAATCCCGTAGGACTTCGAAAAATTTTCATTTGAATTTTCACTTGTGAAAATGCGGACATCCCATACAATTTTCTATATGGAGCGTCACTTGTTCTTCACTTGTGCAAGAGGACATGTCCCACGGGATTCACAAGGTGATTCACAAGTGAAACTTTTTTTTTGGAACTGAAGGGTCCCTAATACATTATATACATATATATATATGGCAAACCATTGCAAATTCAAAAGCGGTACATAATTCAAGTTAACTAGGTAAATTCTTATTTACATATTTACGCCAGAGGTTTTAGCTATCGCGGAATTCGCATCGACAATAATTAAGGCTCAAACATTTTCATACAATATTCATTAAGGGTTTACTCACGATCGGTACTTTATAGGAAAATCCATCGAAGCGTTCGTTGGGCCCAATGAAGCTCTCGTTGATCCCTTGAGGGTAGATTAGAACAAGATGTATATGTATATGTGTTATGTGTACAACCTTAACTTCGATGCACTTCCCGTTTACATAAGAAGCTTTTTACCTAATGGACGTATTTAAAACTATCGTTAGAAATTTCGTACAAGTACACTTATGCAAAAACTACTCAAACCAGGGTCCTAAAAGCCACCCCCCGCTCTGCAATCGTTCGACGATATCAGCGCCAGCATACACTGAGTGGCAGGGACTTAGCGCCTGTTAAGAGATCGATTGCGGGGGGGTGTGTTTTGAAACCAAAACACTTCCGATATTATATGACCGGTCCTCGAGGAAAATTATGACTGATATTCACCTCAGACTATGGTTTTGCACTATTCGCTTTAGCTATTACTGTACAGGTTGCACCTTGCCGCACTTCGGTACCGTTTGTCGGTCAGTTTTCACGTGGACTTGTTTCGAATTATATCTTGACTGTGGGTTTTGGCGCACGTGTGCTGGCCTTAGCAAGAGAAACTCAAGTGTTCGAGCTGTGCACAGAAGTTGGCCTACGTGGCTGACTACGCTTCCAGGAATCTAAGTAGGGAGCGCAGAGACGGAAAGTAACGGCGTTATGGCGTGATATTTTCCGTCATCTCGTCGCTCACACTGATTTTCGCCAGATGTTCAGTCGCCGCGGCGCAGATCGTGCGAGATGGCAGACGTACAGTACAGAGAGGCGGTCCAGCAAATTCAGGAATTATGCCGCTATTTACGTTTTATACATGTGAGTGAGGAACAACTTACAGCCAAAACTTTAACCCTTATGCGTGCGTTCGTGCATTGTACCCTACAACCACAGTTAACAGATGGAGAATCATATCTCGAAAGGCTGTTAACTGTCTATTTGCCGATTTGAATATCTTTGAGATGGTATTTACCTATTGATTTGCCTTTCTCGTTCGCTAGTTCATAGTATGCCGGGCTGACTTTCTTGATTACCTTTGATATCATAAAAACTGGCGTTAATTTGCTACTGAATTTCTTGACGGCATTGCTCTGTGCAAAATTTCTAGCGAAGACAGTGTCGCCAACCTTCAGCTGTACGGTCCGACTTCGCAAATTGTACTTTCGAGCATTGGTCTCATGGCTGTCTGCTATTCTGGCTTTGGCCTCTTGTCGAGCTAATTGAAGAAATTCAGGATACTTTATCGCTACATCGTTTTGTAATAAGTCCAGCTTACGAAGAAGGTTGTAATCTTTGCCATTTAATATCATGTTCTGACCGAAGCAAATGTAGTAAGGTGAGTAGCCTATGCTACGATGGAAGTTTGCCCTCAAGGACCCGCTAATCTCACTTAGTTGCTTATCCCAATTGGTGTGGTCTTGACCCACGTACGCGCGTACGGCTGCTAGGACAGAACGGTTGAGCCTCTCACTGTCGTTGGCCTGAGGAGAGTAGATCGCGGTACAGATATGTGATATACCAAATCGAGTCAGGAACGCCTTGAATTGTCCCGATTTAAATTGCGAACCGTTGTCAGTCAAAATCGACTCGGGCACGCTGAATGTGTAAAAGACGTGTCTTAGTAGATAATCGCAGATCTTACCCGAAGTGAATTTCTTAAATGGTTGCAAGAAATGGAACTTAGACATGTGGTCGACTATAATCAATAACCCGATATTACCTTCTTTTGATCTCGGATATGGCCCTAATAGATCCATATACAACTTCTGAAAAGGTCTGTCTGATGTCATTGGCCTGCCCATGGGCGGCCTTAGTACTAGGTTTGCACCTTTAGTTGATTTACATGTGGGACAGTTTGATATGTATGAACGGATTTGTGTAATCATATCCGGCCAAAAGAAGAATTGCTTAAGCTTCTGCGCCATCCGACCCATGCCTAGGTGAGCTGAGTCACATGGATCGTGTGCTCGATATAGTACACTGTTTCGGAGGTTCGAAGGCACCCAAAGCTTCCATGAATCACTACCTTCCACGCCTTCGAGGCGCTTATAGATATACCCGTTATCCACACGCAAGTCTGTCAGCCGTGACTGGTCATCTTGTATTCTTCTGATCAATTCTACATACTCTTGCGACATAAAATCCTTCGAGGACATGTCGATCACAGGGCCGAGACCGTGAATCTCATTGACTACTAGTTCGTCTCTCCTAGAAAGCGTATCGGGTACGACATTCTGAGTCCCTTTTCTGTGCTTAATCTCGAATGAAAACCCTTGCAAGCGGATTGCCCATCTGGCTAACCTCCCCGATAAGTCCTTCTGCTTCCTTAGCCACTGCAGCGACGCGTGGTCTGTAACTACTACGAAATCTTGCCCCTCGATATACGCCCTGAATTTGTTAATTCCTCTAATCATAGCCAAACATTCCAATTCGGTTTTCCTCAACAGATCGGTTAAAGCTCGGGTGATGGATGCGTAGTTTTCCACGAACCGTCTATACCATCCGGCGAGACCTAGGAAACGTCTGAGTTGTTTGGTCGTGATAGGTTTCGGAAACTCCTTGACCGCTGAGATTTTACCTGGATCGGCTTTCAGTTGACCGTCCCCGATAATAAATCCTAAGTATTTGATGTCTCTCATACAAAATTTGGACTTCGCGATGTTAATTGTCAAGTTGGCCTTACGGAAATACCCTGCTACTTCCTCGATTAGTTGCATATGTGATTCAAAGTCGTCTGAGAGAAGCAAGAGGTCGTCTAAATAGACGAATACTCTCGTCCTCAGGCTAGGCGGTACTACTTGGTCCATTAACCTACAGACCGTTTGAGCGGCGTTGCATAAGCCGAAGGGCATTACCTTGTACTGGTATAGTGGCCGATTTGGTATGGTGAAGGCTGTGCATTGGCGAGACTTCTCCTCAAGAGGTATCTACCAGAAGGCATGCTTCATGTCTAAGCCGGTAATATATCGAGCAGGAGGCAGTCTGCTGAGAATACCATCCACCTGAGGGAGAGGGTAAGCGTCCTTTAGGGTAAGCTTATTAACCTCGCGGAAATCTAGACATAGCCGAATTTTCTGTCCTCGCTGGACAAGAACGCAGTTACTGCTCCATGGACTCCTAGACTCTTCGATAACATCCATTGCTAACATGTTCTCGATTTCAGAAAACATAACCTTTTCCTTCGCCGGCGAAACTGACCAATGCTTCTGCTTTACCGGAAGAGAACTGCCTACATCAATATGATGCTCTATAAGATGGGTGCGCCCTAATCCTTCTTTCTCATAAGACGGAAGCGTGCTTATGGCTTGATTTAACCTGTCTTGTTGAGCGGCTGATAGTACATGGTTCTTAACTGTCTCATCACTTTCTTCGCGACCTACATCTAATTCGGCTACAGCTCCCTTGTCGTCGGTGATTCTGTCGAGTAACCCAAACTTCTGCCAAAAATCTATACCTAAATATACGTCCTGTTTTAGATCTGGAATGATAAAAATCTCTACTGCGTTTGCCCGTCCCTGGTATTTGATGTTCACAATGAGTCGTCCTGTAACAGGACACTCTGAGTTATTTGCGGTTCTTATGAACCCTGAACAGTTGCGCCTTTGAGGGTGATCGTTAAATGTTTTCGCGGCGTCACCGCCAATACAACTCACTGTCGCGCCTGAGTCTAATAACGCGATGTAAGAATGGTTGTCTATCTCAATATCGGTGTATAATCGACTATCCTTGTTGAGGAAAATGGCTGAAATAAGTCGTCTGCGGTTGTCGCGAACTCCTTTCCAAAAGCTTATCGCTCGTCTCGACGATCTTCGAGTTCTATCGTCGTGCTCAAAACTATTTACGCCCCCAAATATCCTGTTCCGCGTTTCTGTGTACCGAGCCAGCCTCTCCTGATATGGCATATGCTCGGTAGTGCTTTTGATCGGCTGTTGGAAACCGATTCAGTCTGCGTAGCGCAATCTATACCTAATGTTTTGGATGCGGCAGCAGGTTGTTCGCTGACGCATCCTTCTGTCGGTTTTCCGATGGATTACAAGTCTGACATTTTAGCTTAAACACGTTCTTGGCACCGCATCCATAGCAAAAGATGCGCCGCTGATTCTCAAGGCACTCATCGAATCGGTAACCTAGACTATCACAATTCCAGCATTTGAGTGGTTCTCGCTGCATTGCTGCGACTTCGTTCTGTTGCATCTCTTCTTCCTCTCCATCTAGCTGAGATACGAATGGTCTAGGGGCAAAACTGCTTTTTAGGGGCTGCAACTTGATTTGTTTACAAAACTGTTCATGTGTTCGTAACTCTTCTCGCAACCGAGCAAGAGTATTAATCCCTAAGTGCATTAATTCAAATCTGAGTGAGGTCTTGGAGTGCCTTATTAGCAAGCGTACCAAGGATTCCTCTGTTATAGGGTTCCGTAGTTGGGCTACGAGTCTTTCGACATGAAACTGAAATTCTTCAAACGGTTCCTTGTCGCCTTGCCTTCTGCTATTAATGGTCTCCCAAATGTCCATGTCTGTATCAATGTCTTCGAATTTCTTACGAAACTCTTCGCAAAACTTTGACGAAGTGAAGTTGGGATTTGCCTTTTGAAACTTCCAATACCATTCAGTGGCTTTTCCTCCAAAATGATCGCACAAGATATTTTTTTTTATGATGGACGTTGATGCACTACGAGCAGTACAAACAAGTGGCCCAACGACACCAAGCACGTGCTTGTTACGCGCGGGGCCCTTTTATCAATTTGGGCAAAAAATACGAGTTCGCGAGGAAGATACAAAAAACAAATAGAGACGGGACAGCAGATTGCACCTCACTAAGCTGAGAGCCAGAAACGGTAACTTCTGTACCTATAGGTACGGTCGGCACCGTAGCCGGCACTGAATGTTTTTTTACCACCCGACTTCGAGAAGCAGTGACTTCACCTAAAACAGCTGTATCCATAGGCGCAGTGGGTTCACTTACCACAGTGTCAACAGAGACTGCTGCAGCCACCAAGTTCGGATTTGGGGTGGATACCGTGACCGTATTAACTGCCGCTAAGCTGGTTTTTTTACGTTTAGGCGACTCAGTTAGTAATTTTTTATTATTAAATTGGGCACAAACGGAATTGAACCCCTCATTGAGCTGTTTAAAAGCACCAGAGAGATTCAAAAGGCTGTCTCGAGTCTGCTTCATAAAGCTGCTCATCTCAACAACCATTTCCTTGCAGGATCCACATGACCACATGAGTCCAGAATTCTGATCAATAAAGTCTTTGACTCTACCAGTAAATCCTGCACATTTAACGTGCATTATCGACTCGCAGAGCCAGCAGAAAATAAAAGGGTCTTTAGTTGAAGACGAAAGAGTACAATTTTTCTTAGAGCAGACCAGAGCCATTTTAAGGAAATTAAATAAAATAAAATAATATATGAAAAATACCTCGAGTAAATTTGGCACTGGGATCAAATTCCAAAACCACAAAGGCACAAAACACGAAAAAAATAAGAGCGCGAGATCGCGTAATAATTTAAATGTAAGAGAGCACAAGAGAAAAAATCTTCTATCGATTGAGCGTTGCTTGTGGGACACTGACAACTTTACGCAGGAACAGTTACAATGTAAAGCAAGCAAGAGAGAGAGAGAGTAAGAGACAAGAGAATAGCACACCAAAAGTCTACCAGAAATTTGGCAGGTTCAGAGAGAGTTTAAGTTACAGTTGTAATATAGAGCGGGAGAGAGAGTGAGAATCAAAGAGTTTTAGCAAGTTTAGTGAGTATAAGAATTACACTAACAAAGCTAGGAGATTAAACAAATCTAATATAAATGTTAAAATAACTATAATCACTGGGAGATCTAGTAAAAAACACTAAACACACTAACCCAGCGGTTAGACTAAGCTTTGTTAATAAACAAACACAAAACACTCGCAAAAAATCACAGAATAGACAAAAATTCAGAGCACAAGAGTAAACACAACCGTTCACAAGCGACGCTTGCAGCATTTAGATTCTGCTGAGCTAATGCCCTGATGCGATAGAGAAATTCTTCGGTCTGAAGCCCGTCTAGAGCGCCATCGAATTTGATCCGCCAGCTCTGGATAATAGTCGGTACTTTGTCCTGATGGACTGATACGTGGGACCTGTTGCTTACGCCACTGGCTTGCTGACTGTTATCGTTCCCTGTAGCTGCATACGAATTAGACAGTGGTCTGTTCGCCGGTGCTGATAAATCTCTATTCTCTATGGGTCTTATCCCTGCATTCGATCTTGTATTGCATCCTAGCTGCATTTTTGCTTATTGAGTCTGAATAACGGATGTCAATTCCTGCGTTAACTGACGCTGGCAAATTTGCATTTCACAGCGTACTACACTAGTAATTTCTTCTCGTTGGCTCGATGTATTCAAATGTGACGTGGTACTATTCGTCAGATTCAGTGCTGGTTGGTTTGGGATCTCTAGCCGTTGGGATCTAGTTATCATCCCCCTTCGCTGACCGTTTCCGCGACCCCTTCTAGTCCTAGTGCCTGCGGGCCTAGCGTACTGTTGTTCGTCAGTGTTACGAATTTGCTCTGCGGCGGAGATTTCTGCTTGCAAATTGTTAGTCGGAAAAGATGCCGGTTGTAATTCACACTGGGTCTTACAAATTGGGCATAAATTAGTTTCCTGAAGATGTTCTATAATGCAACGATTGTGGAATTTGTGCATACACGGAACTTCTGTTCGAATGTCTACTGCATTTAACGGCTCGTTACATATATTGCAAAAAGTAGAAATTCCACTAAGAGCAGCTTCTATATCTTCACTACTATGATATACTACCATTGTATTTTAATTTGCCTTTTGGTAAAAATATAAAAATGTTGGATCGTCACCATTACAACATTCTGCTTATGAGGCCTATTATTTCCTTGATTCGATTGGTTCTGCTATTCCTATGACTGAGCTTATATAACTATGGAATCCCCGAATTTCGAAGGCTGGTCAACCAATACCAACTCAGGTGATTGCTTTTTCCGTGCTCATCGATTCGCGGAGGAATTACTATTGTAAGCTTAAATGTCTCAGCTGATGTGTAGCTCATTCCGGTTAGCCAGTCCGTGATATACTCGACTGTACTACAGTTCCAGGAAATGATCTACCACTACCCTAAAATATTTGAAACCTACATTTGGATTTTTCTTAAATAACGTATTCCTTCACGGGAATTGCTTTATCCTGGGTCGTTCCACTGCTTAAGGAGGACCTCTATACGCTTTTCCACAGAACAAATTGGCAATTGACAAAAAAAACTGAAAGTTACTGGATGGTGTTAGAGAGCGATTTTCGCGGGAATTTCTGACTATATATCTCTCGATCTGAACGATCGGGCCCCACGTTGGGCGCCATTTCTGTTTTAATTATCATCACGTCTACTATGTAGCGTTCAACTCGAATCCCACCGATTCTCAAGTCGCCACTCGGTATGCTGGTCGTAGAGGTCGTGCACTTCTAGCGATGCTCTGCGCTATGCTCGTCGGATTGGCGTGGGTTCTTTCTACTTCCGCTATACCACGACATAAAACAAGAAAATAAGTGCACTATCTGAAACTATTAAGATGTACCTAAATTGTTGTAATCGGCTGTACCCACTGCTTAGTTACGCCAACAGGAACAGATCTCCAATCGATCAAGGGTTAGGGAGACTTGGACGTTGTTTGCCCCCTTATTCTTTACCCACCCTTCCATGGTAACCTTGACATCTATTAGATTACCCCTTATCTGACATCAGATTATATTCTAATACCCCTCAAACATCATGTAGCTCCGGTGACGATCCAAAAAAAAAAAATGATTTACACGATCATTTCGTGGCGTTATACAAAGAATTCATTGTTTCCATTTTTTTCATAGGTTTATGCGCGGTGCGTTCTAATAAACCCTTCAAAGGTCGTTTTAGATAATCTATGCACAGGGTGGTGCCGTTTACTTATTTCTATACTCCAAGATCTATATCCCCTTCAGTTCTGCAGTAGGGACGCGGTGACATGGCTCAAGGCAAAAGCTTTTTTTTGTTTTTTTTTTTGTGCCTAAAACGCTGTGCCGCTGTTGACGTCAGCAGAGCAGTCGGCGCAGCGTAGAAGACTGCCCACGAAAACAATCGTGCAACAAAGAGAGGCAGATATTCGGATATTTCCCTCTCTTTCTTATCTTATAATCTGCCTGCACTCCGCGCTCGCAGAGACAAATTTCGGCTGGCCCGTTATTTTTTTTTGCGTCTCTCCGATATGTTCGGCTAGCGACTAATATTTCGGCGGAAAAATTTTCGTGGAGCAGCGACATGTGAATGCCCTAATATTTTAGGAGCATTATTGTGTATCGAAAAAAACAACTAATATTGTTTTATAAAAGTAAACTATTTGATTATAGTAAAATTTAGTATATTGAATTTACTTATAATGTTATATTTACTTATTATACATTTTTATTACAATATAATTTTTTAGTTAAGTTATAGAAATTTAGTCCGTTAAAATTGATTTAAGTATTTAAAACATTTAAGTATTAACATTTTAAAAAAAATCGAAGCATCCATTTTAATGGTGCGCAGCAGAGTTACTTTAATCATTTAGTTAATATAATAAAGTCAGGTAAGTGCTACATTAAGTTTAAGATGTTGTGCATTGATCTTAGTTTAAAGTACGTAAATTTTGAAGGTATTCAATGGGTTCCGTTAGCCGAAAGTGGATGACGAAATGTTTTGTGCCAATAAAAATCCTGCAAAGGGTTAAACACAGCTATAAAAGGTAAATATACAATTAAACAAATAAAACGCATTTTTGAAACATATGTTTTTTCAGGAGCGTTGGCCAAGGATTCAGAGGACCCGGACAAAGGTTTAAGAACGGCGATGACTAACGTTAAAAATAAGCTTACGAAGCATAAAAACAGAAACAATAATTGTACAATTTTTGAAAATCTAAATAATACCATATAATTAAAATGAATTAAAATGAAATTAAATATGTATGTATTTTAAATTTTATATTTTTATAATTGAAAACTCAAGGAAAAATTCTGATTTTCACAAGTGATTCACTTGGGACGTGTCCCTTGCAAGTGATTTCACAAGTGAAAACTCAAGGAAAAATTCTGATTTTCCCAAGTGATTCACTTGGGACGAGTCACTGGCACGTGACAGGCCATACGAAAAATGAGTATAAGGAACAAGTGAAATCCCGTAGGACTTCGAAAAATTTTCATTTGAATTTTCACTTGTGAAAATGCGGACATCCCATACAATTTTCTATATGGAGCGTCACTTGTTCTTCACTTGTGCAAGAGGACATGTCCCACGGGATTCACAAGGTGATTCACAAGTGAAACTTTTTTTTTGGAACTGAAGGGTCCCTAATACATTATATACATATATATATATGGCAAACCATTGCAAATTCAAAAGCGGTACATAATTCAAGTTAACTAGGTAAATTCTTATTTACATATTTACGCCAGAGGTTTTAGCTATCGCGGAATTCGCATCGACAATAATTAAGGCTCAAACATTGTAACTATCGTTAGAAATTTCGTACAAGTACACTTATGCAAAAACTACTCAAATACAGCGGATAGAAAAAGGAAAACTAAAATCTACGCAAGGTTACCGCCGCTGAGCATACAGCAGCCGAATCGCATCTGGCAACGCCGTGCGG